GAAGGGCGCTGGGCCCATGTCTGAGAGTTCGTGGGTTCGAACCCCGCCGGCCGAAGAATCCCCGTGTAGTTGATGACTGATGCACGTAAAAATTCTGTCGAGTCGCAAAGTCCTCCACGTTCCCATAACAAATCAAAACCTCTGGGGGTACTGGATCGATCGTTCTCTAATTCAGGTCAAAATTACGATCTGTGGATGAATGAATGGATGTATGAATGGGTCCGCCTTATAAACACGTGTGATGTGGCAGAAGTCGANATTAGTATGAGAATGAATAAGACCACTGAAAAACAAGAATCGCACACTCTGCCTTAAATTTGCTCGGTTTCACCAAGCGGGCTTGCCCGTGTAGCAAGTGGCGTGAGAAACAACCAACAAAAATAAGTTATTATTTTATACCTTTATTATTACTGCTATACAGTCCCTGGCAAAATTTTTAGACACACTATAAGAGTGTATGTAAAATCTTAATTATCGGGCGATAATATACAGCTTTATTGTTTTTGCGCAACTGAAACCGGTTTGTACTTCTTTACGTTCGTGTATCAATTGGTGAAATTCGACGATATATCATGTGAATATAGAATATTTATTATATCAGATATTATATTAGTATGTTATAATAATTACACCAAATTATTTGATACACTGTAGTGCTTTAATAATTGTATGCTTTGCACGAGTTTATAAGCAATACCCTTATATTTAAACATATATGTAATGGGTTTTTACAGACTAGATTTTTTATATACTTCCCATTTGCATTTATTTTTAACGTATTACATTAAAATGTGAACCAATTAATACACGAATATAAACAAATGTAAACCGGTTGCAGCCGCGTAAAAATACTAAAGTTGTAGAGTATCACCTGATAGTTAAGATTTTGCATAGAATCTTACAGTGCGCCTAATAGTTTGGCCAGGAACTATATACTTGATCTCTTAAACTGTACTTGAGTGTGCTTTCAGAAAGAAAAAAAAGGAAAGCGGAATTTCTTTTCATATTTCGGTATGAAATGCTTATATTATGTATTTCCGGATAGTCAATTTATCCCATTTACTGTTAGACCTTAATAAGTTAAATCTTATTAAGTTAAACCTTAAATATTTAAATATTTTTAAATTGCGGAAAGAAATGGGTTTTTTTATATTTATTTTATAACTAAAACCAAGAAACAATAAAAGTGAGTCATGGAATTTAGAAATTTGAAATAGGAAATCAGTTAAAAACCGAATTAATGAAAGAAAATCTTTTTGAAAGGAATAGTTTAAATAGTGTCAAAGCAATGTTAAAATCAGGGAATACATGCATAGGAAATAAAATCTAGCTATAATACATATATGTGCATTATAGATTGAAACGCTCAGAATGCTTCAATCTATGACACATATCTCATATGATATAAAATCAGTTTGAGAAATGAATTATAATATGTTTGTATTGAATAGATATTAATCATGGATAAAAGTTTTAAAAGAATTGATATTGAAAACATGTTGTTAAGAAACAGATGCACTCTGTATTTTTCATTTTATGCCTGACAAAAACAAAAAAGTTTTTTTTTTATTTATTGCAGTTGAAAACGTTTTCAAAAATTTTAATTTTTACCCATTGGCAAAACGGTTGTTGTTTCGGATTTGATGGCGTGCTCACCTTATTTGGACGTCATTACACTTTTCAACTGTGTTCGGAGTAATAGTGAACAGGGCGCATGCGTCGTCATTGCATGCATTGCTATGGTGACCGCTGCTGTTTGATAATTTTTTTTAGAATTCCTTTTTCCTTTTATTTTCATTAGCAGTCATTCTTAATATATTTACTTAATAATTTAAAGTATTTTTATATTCTGTTTATTATTAACTCATAATTATAGTCTTGACGGGGATTTGAATATAAGTATGAATACTGAAGAAGGAAAAGTATTTCGTGACGTCTTGAAACACGTATATACAGCCAGAATTTGAACACCAATCCGACGACAAACATCCAATGGAGACAGTTTTTGCAACCCATGATTTGAAATATTGTGTCATTTATCGGAGTTAAACCAGGAAAAAAAAGCATTTGACCAATGGGTGACCAGTGATCGTAATAAAGTGATCACAATTTTTTTCCTTTTATTTATTTATTTTTTTTAAAGTTTAACGTCTTTTAGATTACTTAGGCTGGAAGATTATCGAAATTTCAATTGTCATAAAATTTTACTAGAACCCTTTAAGAATGAAAACTGTATTGTTATTCGGTTTGTAATTTGAGCACTCTACTTAGAAGAAAATTAGCAATGAACTTTTATCATCACTAGACCCTGAGCTCCAGTTTGTACTTGAACTTTGAGCTCTTTAGTTTGTCGAAAAGTACTCAAAATTTTGATTGGCGATACATTCTGTTTGGACAGGCCACGAAATGATTGATACTTGCATCAACTTATATACCTGACAGAAATAAGTAAAATACATAAAACTCAGTAAAGAAAAAAATTGAAGAGCATAGCTGCCACTTAAAGTTGTAACATAATTGCCAAAATAAAAGAGAGACGTTGGTTACTTTTGGCATTTCAGAAATTTAGTCATTAAATTGAAATAAGAAATAAAAATAAAATAGATAAAAGTGCTTTTATTTTATCCTGAGATTCAAAATATGTTTTAATAAAAAAGCGTTCTCAATAATGTGCTGCACCTTGTACAAAATGACGAATTTAAGTGAACTTTTTCTCAGAAATTGGTTTTCAATAACCGATTTTCCTTTATTTTGTTCCTCTCGTTGTAGTACGCGCATTAACAAGGCATAGTGTTTCGAAATTTTAAACATTGTTTATTTATATTTATTTTCTATTTTCGCTTAAATACCCACATTTTTTAACTAAAAAAATTCCTAAATTTTAATTCTAAACGCAGTTTTTTCCTTTAAAAAAAATTGCATTGAAGTAGGCTGCAAAATTAAAAGATTTATACCGAAAAAACTGAATTTTCCTCTACAGGTTCTAACACCAAACTTCGCAATTTTAAAACAGGTTTAATCTAAAAATACGATTCATTATTACGAATAAACAAATATGATTTCCTTGCTGAGTAAAATTAAATGGTTTTACTCGACGGTTTATACAAAAACAAAACAATCATTTTTATTCACTTTTCTGACATTTTTTTCTCTCATAAACAACTATCAGTTAAAATATGAAGGAGCATTTTCGAGAAGTGAAAATATTAAATTATGATGGGCTTTTATTTTAAAATTTATGTTTAAAACGAAGTTGCACTAAAATCTAAAAATACCAAAAATATTTTATCTATCTTAACACATCGTTAAACAAAAATGGTGTCAACAACTTAACACCAAATCGGTATAGTGAAACATCGAAGATAATTCTTGGTGTGATCTATCACCAAAGTTAGTTTTCGGTTTAGAGAAACACCAGGAATGTTTTTACACTACTGCTTTAAAATAAAAAGTAGCTACTCTTTTGGGTATTCAGCAACACTATGGTGTGTTTCCATAAGTTCGCCATGGGTTTATGTTACTTCCCCATAAGTGTTTAGTACTTTACCATAAGATTACCATAAATGTAAGGTGTGTTTCAATACATTTGCCATACGTGTGGGGTACATTTCCATAAGGAATTGTCTTGCCCTATATATATACAGATATCTAAATACTTTACAGATATCTATGGTTACCATAAGTTTATGATGCCTTACCATATAAATGCTATGCAAATCTTTATGGTTACCATAAACCTATGGTATCCTGCATACAAATGTTTATGGTTGTCATAGGCCTATGGTATCAGGCCATATAAATGCCATACAGTTCTCTATGGTTACCATAGGCCTATGGTATCCTGCCATACAAATTTCTATATTTGCCATAGGCTTATGGCGTTGTGCCATATAAATACCATACAGATCTCTATGGTTACCATAGGCGTATGGTATCTTGCCATACAAATTTCTATGGTAACCATAGGTTTACATAGATTACCATAGGTCTCTCTATGACGAATTTTCCTAAGGATAAAATGTTTTATAACAATAAGATAAAATAAAAATACGAGTCAGTAAAGTTACTTGAAGATGCTACTTAAAGTAAGTACAATTATTTTAGAATGCACGGACACACTAATGCTTAAAATAAAATTAGCTTGGCTTAATAAAAATGAAATTGTAAATTTGACATATATATTTACAGAAACACAAAAATTAAGGCAAATTCGAACGAGGTTTAACGTAAAAGAACTAAATCGAATGTAAATCTTTCAAAAATATTTTAAAAATCTGACAAATATTTAATAATTAAAGTACAATTATCCATAATAAACAACATAACTATAAATTTTTGGTGAATTTTTTCTGGATGAATAACAGCTTACAAGATGACAACAAACGCACACAATCTCGATTTCAATGGTAAACAATCTAGTGTTTTTATCTGACGATAGCCAAACACACACCTAAATTGGTATTTTTAGAATCGAAAATAATTTATGAATGGTGGGAATACGTGCGAACTTGATGTAAGTATTCTCCATTATTGGTGTTTAGATTTGATTACACCCTTTAAAATGAGTATGAACACTTGATATGGTATCAACTTGAAATAAAATGCTTATTCACGTAATTTTCGAGATCGTAGAATACCGAATTTAGAGATTACACCTCAGTTTTCACAGTGTAAAAATCATGTAGTTTTAGAGTTAAATGTTGAGTGATTTTGGAATAGAACGCCATGTTTTAGAGTTAGTTACCATGGATTTTAGGGCTTGATTTAGCATACATAGCGGAGATACTACAAATTTCAATGGTTAATTTTACATCCTAGAATTTTTTTTAGTCTTGAGTTTTCTCTGATAATTTTTAAATGTTGGTATCATGTTAAACAGAAAAGAATTTTTATTTGATTTTAAAACATATTCTTAATGTCCAGACATTTCGTAAGAAGAACTTTCTTTATTATGTTGAAATAGTAATTGTTTTTTGCTAATTTGGTAGAATTGAACTTACCATGCAGAGATTTCAGATAAGCCTTCCCAGCTGATATTAGTTGCCTAGCACAAGGATTAAATTTTTCGAGAATATTCTGCAAAAAAAAAGTTTTTGAAGTTAATATTAATAATAAATTTGTGCACTACGTTTAAAGGATTAAATAATATTTATGGTTATTGAAATGTATTCTAAAGTTGTCTTTTTGATATCAGACAACTATGATTTTAATTGGCATGACAAATCTAAAATACACAAGCAAAAAACAAATCACTACAACAGTGAACCATAATATCTTACAAATTTGTTTGTTCTTAAGCTACGCCAAGATATCATGACTTATACCATCCTAAATAGTAGCGGATAAATATTGTTTTTGGAGTAAATAATTCTCAAAGATGGAAATTGAATATTGTTTTAGGTATTTATTTGACGCACTGGAAAACAAGAAAAAGGTGAATGAACAAAATGCGTTTATTTGTTTACTATCAAACACTCCAACATCGAAAATTAAAATAAAGTCTTTAGTAAAAATGTGGACGATATTTTAGGCTGAAAAATAGGTTAATATTATTTTTTACGAAGTAAAATGTTTGGAAAAACAGCCATTTTGAAATAACATTAAAACTTTGAAAAAGCCATGTATGGTAACAAATTAATCAGAATTTCAAGCTGAAAAATTATATAATAGTGATTTTGATAAGCAAAGTGTTTACAATGGAAAGAAAATGTGCTACTGAGGTGTGTTTTCACACAACTGTTAAGCTTGTTATTTTATGAATAAATATTTACTAATAATAGGTAACAGAAATGTGATTACGGCTAGTATTTATTTACGAAACGTTTCCGTATTTTCATGGTACGTTTATCAATGTATGGAAGCGAAACTATTTTGTTTCGTTTCCATACAATGGATACTCTATCACAAGATTCTCTATTTTTCTCTATTCACAAGAATCACTTTTCTCTACTTTCTCTATTTTAGGAGCCGGAGACATCAGAAATAAATAAAGTTAGGTCGACGTAGGTTGTTGTATATTCATACCCTTGAAACAAATGTCTTACATGCTCAATAGCATTAGCTTGAAAAACAGAAAATTTTCAATGGTATCTTCCCCTTGAAAACCATTCAATATGTCATCATTCTTTTCAGAAATTTAATCTTCGAAACTTATTCTGCTTGGTGATTCCTCACTTAAATAGGGAGGACAGTTATTAAAAATGCATGGATAAGCAACCTCTTTTAATATTGGCCTCTTCCGAGGTACTACAGCTATTTAACCATTCTTGTCAAGCTAATTAATCTAGATTATCATGCCTTCGTGAAAATGTTTTTCCCAAACAGAGCATTTACCAGGCACAAGCTCAGCACTGGGAATTTTTCAGTCCCTTAACTTTTTTCATTCTTCATCATTTGGAAATTGAAATACGCTTACATAAGTGGCCCCTTTTATGAAATTGCCTTTACATTCCGGTACACAGCAATGGTCGGGATTTTGGAGTTAACAAATTGAACGATGAATAACGAAATTATTAGCAAATAATAAAATTTAACAATGAAATAACAAAAAAAAGCGTAATAATGGAATAATAAAACGGAAAAATTGAAAAACAAATAGAGCAACATAAAATAATCAGTAAAAGCGCACTTCATATATCGTTTTTTTACAGTCAGCAGGCAGATCAAACTAGTTAGAATTGTAACACGCCAGCTTGGCATTCGACGGAAAGGAGAACTTATCAAATATGGCATCCAGATGGTCTCTTCAAGATGGTTATGGGTTAGCTCCAATAATCTAATCTTTTTTCCTTCTTTTTTTGTACTTTGGGTGCATGAGATGTAATAGTGCTTTGCTGGTAGCAAACTTCTGTCATACAACTCAGAACACATCGGTAAATGCTCAACTAATACCTTTCCTATTGCTTCTACCAGGTGGTAGACAATTGCGTCTCGTGGAGATGCTGTAATTGTATAGCCGAATTACGACCCATTCATAACTTCCGGATCGATTTTCGCGGTAGATTTTTTTTTATTTCTAAAGTTGGACAAAACAAATACGATTATATTTTTATCTTTGTTTTAAAAAAAAATATTTGCAAAAATTATGACCCCCACGACCTACAAATAATTTTTTTAAATATATATAAGCCCTAACAGTATACTTTAAAAATATAGAGTGTTCGCATAGTTAAAATAATTTCTGATTATGATGGTAAAAACAAATGCTTCAGGATTTCCACTGCGAAGAATCTTAAGCAAAAAGTGTAAAAGACTGCAACTATGTGCATTTCAAATTTGATGTTCTTATTATTTTGTCCTATATTTGTATAACATACCCGATTTGTAAGTTTAAATGATATCCTGGAATTTATTAAATAAGTGGTTTAACAATAACCATAATATAGTGTAAATTTACCGTACTTGCAAGGGAAACTAGGAAAGTGTGACTCGCCAATTTTAAAATAAACTAGTGGGATGCTGGGATGTATGCCTTATGAGGAATGATTTTAGGGGGAAACATTCGTTTCGGCCCATAGAAAGGTCCTGTGATAGATATAAAATAATTCAATATATAGAAAAATCGGTTTTTTATTACTTCAATGCAGACTATAAGTTATTGTAATTGTCTCATACTCCAATTAATTTTGTGATACTTTCACGTACTATATAATGCATATTTATTGTCAAAATTGATTTTGAAAATTTTATATATCTGTGGTTTTTCTGAAAAACCTGTTAGGTTAATTTTAAAAAAAAATTTGACATCAAATTTTTTTAATTTTTTTTTCTTCAGCAAACTTTCTAAATTAATTGGAGTATGTAATTCTAAATCAATTAATAAATAATTAATTAATAATTAATTAACAATTAATTTTCTGATTAATTTATTAATTAGCAAATTAATCAATTATCCAATTAATTACAAATTAATTGGAGTAGGAGACAATTACAATAACTAATAGTCTGCATTGAAGTAATAAAATACCGATTTTTCTATATATTGAATTATTTTTTATCNTTTGTTAAAAAAAATGATTTGCAAAATTTATGACCCCCACGACCTATAAATAATTTTTTTAAATATACATAAGCCCTAACAGTATTCTTTAAAAATATAGAGTGTTCGCATAGTTAAAATAATTTCTGATTATGATGGTAAAATCAAATGTTTCATGACTTCCACTACAAAGAATCCCAACCAGAAAGAGTAAAAGAAGGCAACTAATGTGCATTTCAAAATTGGTGCTCTTATTATTTTGTCCCATATCTGTATAGCATACCCGATTTGTAAGTTTAAATGATATACTGGAATTTATTAAAAAAGTGGTTTAACAATAACCATAATACAGCGTAAATTTACCGTACTTAGTGGCGTGTTGAATTTAAACATGCTCGTTCAATTTAAGAAGAAAATCGTACAATAAATTCAAGAATAACGATACTATAAGTCAACACAGCACCATATTAAGGTAACAGCAAATTTCCCCGATATTATAATTCATCGCTGCCATACATAAATTTGAAATAAATTTAGCGTTGAAAACAATTTATATCCCAATGAAAGAACATTCCTCAACTCTTTAAATGTTGTATTATACTGTATGAAAAATAATATAATAGATAGACGAACTACAAATAATCTATTTCTTTTAAACGTTTGTTTTCTTTCAAATTACCTGAAAATATTGAATAATTATATTGAAAATTTCTCTATTAGTCATTCAGGAAAACATTGCTTCTGACAGTTTTCCGATTAAAAAATTTCTTATATTATTCATAGAGATGGTGGTTTGACGGATCAACGATTTAACTGGAAGGCAGAACAAATAAAGAATCTCACTCTACTTGTATCGATTGTCAATACATCACCCTAGCAAAGGCAAGAAAGAAAACAATCGAAAAGAGCCTTCACTACGCAGAAAACTTGTTACAACTCTTTGTTAGTGTGTATAAAAGCCCAAGGGCTGCTCTCCACTTTTGTAGTGGCTAAATACTCCTTTCAGTTTCATTCATCGTCTGAAAAACAAACGATTGATTTTTCCTGGCAGACGATAAAAGTTTGGAAGTATAGGTTTTCATATTGGCAAAACTGAATTTAACTAATTGAGATGCATGTTCAGAATTCCTATGTAAATGCTGAAAACAACTGCAAATCAAAAACTATTTATTGAAAAGACAATTTATTGAAAGATTAATCCCAATAAGTGTACAATTATTGATGGTAAAATATTATGCATTATTGTAATTAATTCTTTTTATTACTTTAAAAATTAAAGAATTTTACTCTAGGTTATTATTGGAAAAAAATGATTTTTTTTTCTTGATAACATATTTACATTGTATTTAACAAATAATGCCATTATTTCTTAGAATGATAATAAATTTTCTCTCAGCGTTCAGAAAAAAGAATTGAAGCTTGTGATGTTGTACATAATATTTTAAAGCTTTATCAAATCTTAAGTGGTCGAAATTTTGATTGAAGATTAATTGAATTTGACGGTAGAAAGGGAGAACGGAGCTACTGTAACTACAAGAGCATTCGAACTAGTCTAAAAGGGGTTGAAATTTCAATTGCAAGATTTTATTGTTCCAGACAAGAAAACGAGTTAATAAAAATGTACCGACTGATTAAATAATCGTCTGCATAAGTGATTAGAAACAAACAAATGATTTTTGAGTTTAAATTCGGTATCTGAAAGTGAGGATGGTAAGCAAAATTATTTATTTGATTTTTAACTTTTAAGAAGCATAACATTGTGCTTTAAAACAGAGTAAACATTTTTCTCATCTTGTGTAACATAAAAATTTCGGCGCTGAGCATAAAATAAATGGTTACTCATTGTCATTCGTAACATATGTCTTGCGATCCCATATTTTAAAACATAGAACACAGACACTTAAACTTAGAATGAAAAACCCCCCGCATTGTCACCGTGAACATTATGGAAGAGGGAGCGACTGGGGGGAAAAACACAACACTAATGCTTAAAATATTTCGCGAAAAATATTTGAAGAGAAAAAAAAATTGAAAATGTGCTTAGGAAGCACTGGAGTGGAATATCGAAAAGCTGCAGACTCTTCTTCTATTCTCCAAC